TTTATTGATATGTATTTAAGAGTTTGATGTAGTAGTTAGGCCATGAGGTTATAAACTGGGAGATTGTGAGTTGTACTTCCCTCTTTGAGCCAGTCATTCTCTTTCAACCCTAGGAAGGAGCAATGGCAAACTACTTCCAAAAATGTTACCAAGCAAAGTAAAGGGACTTGTCTAGGCAGTTTCCAGGAGTCAATACTAACACAAAAACACACACAAAAAACCCTTAAAAGCTCTACGAAAAATAAATACAGCATAATAAAATAAAACATGTTATTTAAAGCAGAAAAAATAATACTAAGCAATAAGAAATGAGCAATACACATGTAGTCCATATATTTCACCATTCTATATCCTTAGTGTAATTATAATAAAGACTAGTATTTTTTTAGTTCCTATTTCTGAGGCTTGTAGAAGTATTTCGTAAACATACTTTGTTTGACTCACATACTGCAGCCATAAATAATGATTTATAAATGAACCAGATTGATTTAATTTACACATCACATCACACCAAACCAAAATGCAACAAATCAGTGTTTGTAGTAATGTGTGATCCAAAATTATAGAGTTGGAAGGGACCTTGGAGGTCTTCTAATTCAATACCCTGCTCAAGCAATACTGTTTCAAATAGTTGTCTAGTCTCTTCTTTAAAAACTCCAGTGTTGGAGCACCCACAATTTCTGGAGGCAAGTCATTCCACTGATTAATTGTTCTAACTTTCAAGAACTTTCTCCTTAGTTCTAGGTTGGTTCTCTCCTTAAGCCCATTCAGTTTTCAAAATGTAATTAAAATATGATTTGAAAAGAGATGAATAAATCAAGTCCCCAATCTCTCTTCATCCTGTATAAACAAAATCAAAAAAATGAAAGGGTTCCTTCAGTCTATGGAATTCAATCCACTTCATCTAGATGCTCCTCCCTAATACATTTAGTAGAGCCCATTATCACCCCAACATATAGAATGTTTACAGTCAGATTTTTTTTTTAATCTTTACCTGGAATCTGTCCTCCAATAACTTTATTACTCCATAGCCAACTGTTAGTCAACTTTCTTCTCTGCGATCTATTTTCAGGTACTCAAAAGAATGCTACCGTATGTAACTATGCTCACTTTAAGTTGATGCTGACCTGAAGGAAAGTGCAGATATGCCCTTGGGAATGAATTGAGCAGGTACAGATAGTCATCTTATGACTATTTATTCAGGGGTTGTTGTGACAGCATTGAACAAGTGATATCTGTAACCAATCCTTGGAGTTCCAGTCATCCCAGCCCCTCTATGACCATGTGATCGCGACAACCTGTTTATACTTACAACCAGCTGCACCGTCCTGCATCTGTGTGATTATCATTTTCAACGTTCTCTGCCAGCTTCCACAGAAAGATAGTCAGGAAGCTCCTTGCAGGGAAGGTCACACATCAGAAGTCTCCCATCTCTGTGTACCCTCCCCCAGCTGCTCTGAGCCCCTCTGCACTGGCTACTCATGCACCCTTAACTCACCTCCCTTATACCCTCATGCATTTTCTCCAACTTGCACCTCTTGCACACCTCCTCACGCCCTCCGATCCACATCACTCATGCACACCTTTAACTAAGGTGACCAGATGTCCCGCTTTTGGCAGGACAGTCCCGATTTATAACAATTTGTCCCACGTCCTGCGGCATTTTAAAAAAGTCCCAATTTTTGGAAAGAATGCACGACAAGCTAGGGAACGGCAGGAGAACGCGAAAGGAATATATGGTTTTCACTCACCCTCACCCTCTGCCTCTGTTGGATCGCTGGTCCCCGTTCGCTTACCCCGCCCACTCCCAATCTATTGCTGAGTCCCAGCTGATGGCTAGAGGGAAAAAAACTGTTTAAATTCTTGCCGCGGGGCTTCAAAGGGCCGCCCTACAGCTGATCAGTGTTAAAAGAAAACAAATGAGTAGACTGGTGCCTGCAAAAATAGAAAAAACAGCCCCTTTCAGCTTCAGCATAGGTTAATTACCATAAGTTGATTTGATCAGCCTCCCGACTCTCAGCTGATTTGCTCTCAGCTGTTTTGTTGAGGGCTCTGTTGCCAGCTAGCTGCAAAGAGGTAAATTGCTGGAGCAAATGTTTTTTTCCCCTAGCTATGCTGAAAAATCGAAACTGAAAGTAAAGCAGGGTCTTTACTGCAACGTGACAAAATGAGGCAGAGAGATTTCTTTTTCTTTTTCCTCACCAAAAAAGTAGGTGCAAAACTGCAAACAATGGGAAATTTAGGGCAAAAGAGGAGGTTCAAGATTTTAAAACACCAAAGAATAAAAGCTCTGTTTAACTAGGGAATTGTAATAATTGAGATACTATTAATTGTATATTGTGTTGAAAGCAAAAATGGTTAAGTTGTGGTTTGGAGGAATATATGGGGGAAATTATTTGGTTTATTATTATTGGTAAATATAATTAATTAATTTGTAAGAAATTGGATTGCATGGAAATAATTGGAATATTCATGTTCATATTGATTAATATACAAAAAAGATAGTTATATAACTGATTTATATTAAAATGTTGAATTTGTATTAAACAACTGTATTACATAATTACATAATTAACCAATGTGAGGATAGAAGGGAATAGAAGGGAAAAATTGAATTTGATTAAGATTAGAGATGAGGATGAAGGGTAATATTGGTTTTTTTAAAAAATAGATGAATAAATATGGCAAAAAGGAAATACAGAAATTGTAAATTTAATTGAAATGACTAAACACTGTTTAAATTTGTGAACCAGCCAAATACTCTGTTCAAAGAAAATACATTGTATGTTTGTATGTGTGTTTCTAATCATTGCTATTTATTCATATTTGTTCTCTTTTATTCTTTAAAGTTTAACAATTCATTCTTTATCTTAATATCTTAATATTTATTTGGGGTTGGTTTTCTTCCCTTTCATCTTTTTTATTGTACAGCAATCTTTCTCCTCAAACCTACCACCTCTCTCTTTTCTTTCCTTCTTACTTTCTCTTCCCCCCCTCTTCTTCTCCTCTCTACTTCCTCTTCCTTTCTCCTTCTTCTCCTCTCTTCCTCCCTCTCTTACCCTCACTCCTACTCTAATTTCCCTTCCCTTCCTTCATCCCTCTCTATTGCTGTATCCTTTTATGCATATGGACTACTCAGAGGGCTGAAAAAGTTATTGGTCCTCGCACTTTTGACCAGTCCTCAAACTTACGACTGTCCTCACATTTTACGTTTTTGCTCTATCTTGTCACCATGGTGAAGAGAAGCAGTTGTGAAATGAGTGACATGGTTGTTAAGAATGCTGCATGGGCATAAATGATGATCAATCATAAGTGCGAAGACCGGTCAAAAGTGCGAGGACCTGTCAGAAATCACTTTTTTCAGCCCTCTGGGTAGTCCTTTTGTGCACATGGGCTACTCAGAGGGCTGAATAAGTTATTTTTGACTAGTGCCCTCCCCCCCTCCCCCCCGGTCAATGGTGTCCCTCTTTACCAATGTTAAAATCTGGTCACCTTAAACACACACCCTAACCTGTATCTCATGCACCCCTGAAGACCCTCTCTCATACCTTTACGTATCCTTTTCCTTCCTCCATCTGGCAGCAGCCACTTATCTGCCTGCCAGTCTGGAACTTGCAACTTCCTTCTGGTTTCCCCACTGGGTTTGATTGTGGAAAGCTAGCCTCACCTAACAAATATGGCATTCAGTTAACAAAAGCAACTCTGGTAGGACTGTAGGGATTGTCATCGCTAAGCAATAAAGTCATAGATTATGACCGCATCAATTAGCAACAGAAATTCCAGTCCCAATTGCCACTGTAATTGGAACTACCCATTGTAAAAAGGACTCTCTGTCTGCTGGGCACAAGTCTACTACAAGATGCTTGTTTCAGGCAACATTAACAAATCAATTTTATAATCAAGTTTTAATACAATTTTTATTTGCTGCCTCAAAATTTAGTTTCCTTTTTAATTGATGAATAATCATAATAACGTTATTGCATTGTAATTCAGCAATTGACCAGATGTTCCCTTGTAAATTAATAAAACTACTCAGGTGCTTTTGCAGCTGTAAATTTTCCAAAGTAAGACTCCCTCTGTTTGAACACCAGGATACAGTATGCTAAAATTTAATTCCGTCTTTCGGAAAGAATATAAAGCAGAAATGAACACAACACACTTAACTAATACTAATTTATTATTTCAGTTTGTACAACCACCCCCTCACCCGCGGATTAACTATTGCACAAATCCTTCATGAAATAAAATGATCTCATCAGTTTTCTTTAAAAATTGAAAAAACCAACATCTACAGGTAAATCAAATTGATGTGATTTATTGACTAACTCAGATCAAGCACAACTGCCTTCTTTCTGTATTATTTATTACGATGTATTATTTCAATTTCGAGGCTGGTAGGCTCCATAGCAATTTTGTTCAGCTTAGCAACCACACACACACAAAAACACACACACACACACACAAATACACACATTCAAAGTCTTGTGCTCCTTTACAAGGTTCAACAGGCAAAAAACTAGGAGCAGTTTTCCATGGGGAAAAAAATGAATGGCAAAACTGCAGCCCTGATTTCTTGAATTCCCACCCCAATTCCCATCTCCATCAGCCTTATCCTGGTCTGCATGGTTTAGCAGTTCAACAACACCTGAAAAACCACAGGCAGCCCAACCCTATTATCAAAGCATTTTATAATATAATTGAAAGGCGCTCCTTTCAATGTCCCGACTTTCACAGACACTCCTTATATCTTCATCTTTTCGGCGACCCCAGAGCATATCCAGCCTGCGGCGCGCCCTAGCAAGCACATTTGGTGCTTTGCCTTTAAAATCTCCGACTTGTATACCCTTGCATTTAAACCCGGAGGGCCAGCAAGCAAGCGAGCAAGTCAAATTATGGCGTCTATTCCAGGAGCCGCTTTCCAAACACGCATGCGCGTGTCCTCCACCGTCCCGTCAGCCTCAGTGGTGACAGCTCGTGAGCGTGGCCACTTCCTGTCCCGTGATGCTTCACGTCCCAAGCGGAACAGGCACAAGATGGCGGCTGAGCGGCAGGTGCCCGGGAGCGGCGGCGGCGGCCGTGGTACCGGTGGTAGCGGCGGCGCTAGTTCCATGGCAGCCCTAGAGGATAACAAGGAGAATGAAAAACCCAAGTCCGGTGGCCTCGGAGATAGCCTGGGCCTGGAGAGTATCCTACCGGCGCGTTGGAGGGGAGAGCGCTAATGGGGACGTGTCACTTAAGGAGGCAAAGGGCGAGCCCTTCTCAGGCTTCGGCTTCTGCATTGAGAAGCTTCCGAACTTCGCGTATAATTCCTAATTGGTTTGTCTTCCCGAATTTCGGGTAGTGACGATCGATTTATTTCGCTGACTTTCAAGTGGATTTGACTGAAATTAACATAAGGGAAATATATAGTCCAAGGCATATTGGAGGTTAGAGGCTTCCCTTAGCTCTAAGATGTGCTACAATTAATTAGTTACAATGTGAAACCGCATTTGTTTTTGTTTTTCTTTTGCAAAACATTGCATGGAATAACTCATTAGCCAAGTTTGGGATCTTATATATAGGTAATAGGTACGCAGACACTCTGGTTTGTAAAACAGAGCAACTGGATTTTTAAACTAAACTCGTAATTGAAAAGTGGAGGAGGCAAAATATCAGGTATTTGCATGGACCATGTCAGAAACTTGTTGAGTAAGCAACCATATTTCTGTTTATAGATCTTTCATGATAACGTGAAATTTATATAACAGATAACAAGTTTCAAAAACTTATGTTTTAGAGAATGATACAGTTAAGTTATGCCGTCCAATTGTAAAATAAAATGGTACACAGAAATAATGTGAACCTGAAATGTTAATTTTATAAATTTTGTGAATATTCTAATGACAATTACTGTACAACTTTAATTAGTGGACACAACAGTGATATATAATGTTAATCTAATTCTAGAAATTTTTGACTTTCTCAGATTGTATAGTTTATGTTTGGGTAGTGATTTTGAAGTCACAATTAGAAATACATTTATATTATCTTGCCACTGAATCTAGTTAGTAATAGCAAATACAGTATACAGTAATTCTATTAATTTCCAAGTTCAATAGTAAATCATTACTTTAAAATTGCATCAGGTTTTAAATAACATATCTCAGGGTTGGTAAAATTGTAGCTGTTTTATTCCAAAGCCAAACAGGCAACAGAAAGGTTTAGGCTTAGAATATGAATGCAGGAAAATCTTTGTCATCCAGCTGATATTCCATTATAATCACGCTCAGAAACAGTCACTAACCTGTTATATTTGAATTTTTAAAAATAGTAAAATGTATATTTTATATGATTTAACTGTATAAGTTATATTGTTGGAAGTTTCCTTAACAAGTCTTTTAGTTCTTCAGATTATTAAAGAATCACAACAGCAACATGGCCTACGTCATGGTGATTTTCAGAGATATAGGTTAGTATGCAAGGAATAATCATAGAAGTTAACAGTTGAACAAGAAATGCCTTTGTTTTATTAATAAAAAATGCTTATTTCAATAGTTACAAATGATGCAGCTGATTTTAGAGAAGAAATTAAAAGTAGAATGAGTTAGATACCAATGCTAACTGTTTTGTCTTTAATATCACTGGGAATCAGGCATACATGGGAGGGTAGGGAAAGTAGATTGAAAGCAAATATTACTCTGAATAAGAATTAACCGTTTCTTTTCTCTTCACCCCTTGAAGAGGTTATTGCTCCCGTCGACTAAGGAGGCTCAGAAAAACTCTTAACTTCAAGATGGGAAATAGGCACAAGTTCACGGGGAAAAAAATAACAGAAGAGCTATTATCTGACAACAGGTACTGGAAGGTTCTATTAACTGCAAGATATAAAGGGCTGTATCTAGCACCCTCTTTTTAACCCAGCAGAATGGGTCATCTGATTTATCAAATTTCTTTTGCAGATGCACGTTCCCTCTCCTAGTCCATGAACAGAAAGATCTCTTGCATACCTTTGCATTTATATCCAACTGTACAGTTTGTATAGCCTTTTGTTGCCTGGAGAAACTACAGAACTGTAACAAGCCTCAATTTCCAAGAATAAATTTGGAATGCAAAGATGAAGTCAGGAGGTCTAGCCTCTATTTCTCCTAGAAACTCTGAACACAGACTTTGTGTTATGTTTGGAGGTCAAGCAAGCTAACCTATTTCTGCCTTCCATTTTTGAGTTGGAGATGGGAATCCGGTCTCTTTAGCTTTCTTCTGTCCTCATAGAAAAAGATGGGGACAGCATCCTGAGCAAAAGAGAGGTTAACCAAATTCCAAAATTGTATTAAATTATGAAACGTTGATAAAATAAATTGTACAGTGTCTTTGAACACTCTCAGATACAGAAAAATACAGTTACTTTACAAAGAAAACTACTTTTGTGTTCCTGAAGCAAATCTTAGAAATGATGTAGGTGTTTTAAAACATTTTAGTGTGTTTGAAGTTGTTTCGTTTCCATATAATAAGCATTCCAGTTTCTGTGCTAGTGTGCTAGAATGAAGTATTGAGACTGGTAAATTTTGCCTTCACACTTAGTGCTACACTGTTGTCCAAAATGCATGTCCTCTGGATACAGTATCAGAAATACTGTACTTCTAGAATATTATTGATGTATATATAAATGTACTGTCAAAATCCATCAAGATAATAGGTGAGGAAAGGCAAAGTTGATCTTCCCAGGATTGTAAGGATAAAAGAAGGCTTGTGGAAATGTCCTTCACCAGGAATTCTGAAGAGAGGGTGTGATGTAAATATAATCAATCACTTGGTAGAAAGGGACTTTGAAATTGGCTTTAAACAAGATGCCTGATTGGGGCAGAAGTATAGGAACAGATGCATTTGTTTTGTATTTCTGTTGAAATTCTCAAGGGAAATTATAAGTGCTTTGAATAATTTTTAATTGACCTTATGCTATAGATATTTACTCCTGATTCTTATGGATGCTGAAAGAGCCTGGAGTTATGCAATGCAGCTCAAGCAAGAAGCTAACACAGAACCACGCAAACGTTTTCATTTGTTATCTCGCCTACGCAAAGCAGTAAAACATGCTGAGGAACTAGAACATCTCTGTGAAAGTAGCCGGGTGGATGCCAAGACAAAGCTGGAAGCTCAGGTTAGGACTAGTTTTTAAAACTTTCCTAGAAAGGCAGAGAAAATGCACTAGAGTTAATTTCTTAGTGGACAATTGGATCTAAATTGTAGATAATAAAAGCTCCAGTGAAGAATACAGAAAGAAAAGAAAAAAGCTTATTATAGACAGTCTGTTTGGACACAACTCATAAACTGTTTTCAGAAGGGCCAACCTTCTGCTGTGTTACTTAATATGCAAAAAAGAGGAAGAAAAAACCCAACCTTATAAAAACTTACGTTTCAAATGTTAATCATTTGGGTTGTACAAGACACTATCCTTGAAACTCATTAAGCCATTCTGCAGTCAGAATAATCAGTTTCAGGGTCAGGATATTTTGATGGAACTTTTGCATGTCTTATTAATGTAATATGAAGTAATATGAATATTTGCCCAGGAGTCGTTTATTTCTTCTAGCAAACTAACTAAAAAGAGTATATTCCACCACTACTATTTCCTGTGGAAAAACAACTCGTAGTCTGCGTACATTTTCATTTTAGACAGGTGTCTGAAAAAATATTGTCTAAGTAGTAATAACAATTTGAACTCTATTTTCATGAAAATAAATAGCATACTTATTTGTACTTGATATTGGTATATTTCCTGGTATTTACTAATAGCTGCTATGGAAAAATCCAAAGGCAGTAGGCTACCATACAGTTATTTATTTATTTATTAGATTTTATTTTTGCACTACTTGCACTACTTATCATCCATCTTCATTTTTCTTATAGGCATACACAGCTTACCTTACAGGTATGCTTCGATTTGAACATCAGGAATGGAAGGCAGCAATGGAGGCTTTCAACAAGTGCAAGTGAGTTTCAATTTTTTTTATTTCTATGTCCATTGTCTATTAAACAGTTTTTTCTCATTCAGATTTTTCTGGATGTAACATTTTTTTTTTCTTGAACTTTTTAAAATCCATGTAATACATTTTGTTTCTGCATAGCCTAGTGATGAAGCTTAAAAGCTCAGTATTTTTACAGTAACCCCTCAAATAGAAAGAAATGGTTTTTAATACTGTAAAGTACTGACTATTTGCTTTCAACCTCCTTTTGCAGAACCATTTATGAAAAGCTGGCTAGTGCTTTCACAGAAGAGCAGGCAATATTATATAATCAGCGTGTGGAAGAAATCTCTCCAAATATTCGTTATTGCGCTTATAATATTGGTAAGTAAATCAAGAAGAAAAATATATTGAGTGAATTTAATAATTATTATTCTCATACACTCCTACCAACGTTGACAAGGTAAGCTACGTAGAGCAAACCCCACTTCTTTCTAGCACTGAAGATGTTACCTAGCTGTGTAATGAAATATATGCAAGAAAACAACCAAGCTCAGAGAGCATCAGGGACTCCACTATTCTTATACAATCGCCTGTGAAATTAATGCATTAGTAAGATTGAATGCAGAATATTTTTCAGTGTGATATTTATATTAATTTAAACAAATCCAAGCTTTCATACTTTTTGAGAAGAGCATGCAAATGTCCAAGGTGACAGTTATTAATGGGATTCTTAACATGTTCTCTTCATTTATCCAAATAAAAAACCAACATCTTTTCCTTCTTGCAAAAGAAAAAAAAGGCAACTTTTATGGAAGACTACTAAGAAACCTTCCGTCACATTTTTGTCTTTTGCTGCAGATTACAATTTTCTTTATTGATTAAACTATGCCCACCCATCTTTCCAAGGCAATTCTTTGATTTGCATAATAATGCAAATATTTTTAATATATATTACAGACCAAAATGTTAATATTTAGATATACAGTATTAAATACATAATTTGGATATGTGTGGCCCTTCTCTTAAGATTTTTGGTGTGATGTATAGATAGCAGCTAACTATATACTGATACTCTTAGTTTCTTGCATATTCTTGCTTATTTAAGTAGGTTAAAATATATGCCATTGTGATGCTCTCATTCCCCTGTGCTGTGAGCTTTCTTGAAGTTTTGCAGTGCGTTTTTGTTAAGTGAGAAATTGTGCTGGATGACAGGCTAATTGAATTCTGTCCCTTGTTTCTTAGGTGACCAGTCTGCTATTAGTGAGCTAATGCAAATGAGGCTGAGGACTGGAGGTACTGAAGGTCTCCTTGCTGAAAAACTAGAGGTAATTAATCTCACACTTTTCCCTTTTGGAAAAATGGCTACTGATGCCTGATTTTAACTGATATGTCACTTTTCTTTTTAAGAAATCTAAAATACAGTGTAAAAACCCAAAATTCAAAATTATCTTACAAAATAATACTTTGAAATTATTTTAAAAACACAAAAGCTAATTTTTAACCTGATCGTAGAGTTAAAAAACCTGTAACTCTCCACTGTCACAGCAGCAGTAGTCGGAGGTGACTAGAATTGCAGTTTTAAAAAACCTAGAGGGCCACAGATTCTGGTTCTGTGAAGAATAACAGGAGAGATGGGAAACTAATAATTGTACAATTAATGTCTTCATTTTCTTCTATAAATCAAATACTATCTGTTTAAAATAAAGTTGGGTCTTCCTTGTGGGTAGTTCTAAAAATATTTCTTTTGTTTCCCCTATCTGATTAATTCATTTGTTTAATATTAAAAATTATCATTTTTGTGCTGCCCCAAATGGTACCATTTGTGTGATTTTGCCATTTTGCAAATTATATAAATTGCAGCAGAAATTTAGTCCTTGCATGAAAACACTGTTGCATTGCTGTCCACTGTATTTTAAAAGAAAGGAAGTATTTGGGCTGCAGTTGAAAAAGCGATGTGCTGTATAGTTTAATGTCATCTTCATGTGACATAGAATTTGAGCTAGTATTTTATCTGCTCGTAGCAACTGCTAACAGAATAGTTCATCATTTTAAAGCTTGTACTTTTGTGGATTGAGATTGGACAATGCATTTCTCATTTTCCACTTCAGTTTCTTGCCAATAGTTACATATATACAACTTCATACAGTGCCCTTCATACATTTATTTGTGAGGCTTACATACTCTTGGTAGTAATAGTCTCCCCTAGGAGTTTGTCCTGGAAATGCTTTGGAGCTGCAGAAAAACCTTGCTCTCCACTAAGTATTATGGCACCATGCTTAAAATCTTATACTTAAACTTGCCTTTCAAACTTGCCTTTCTGTATCTGAGAACACCCAAAGCAAACTTCCAGCCTTTCCTCCACTTCAGTAGGCCATCCAGTAAATCTGTATGTTGATGTTTGCCAAGAAGTACCTTTTTGGAAATCTTTGAAAGATATGACAGTGTCCCCAAGACCTTATGCTTCCCAACAACCTTGATTAATCTTTTAATCTGAGGCAAAGGCTTCTTTTTAATTTTATATGTATAAAATCACTTTAAGAACATGTTTTCCAGTTATTGATTTGATCATGATTTGTGATTGCAATAACTTGAAACTTAAACTTTCATAGTTTACAGTTGTATATTACTTATTGCATACAGTGAGAAATATGTATTGTGAGAAATAAATGTTTTTCATTAGAGCGCCAAACCAAAATTTCCCTGTTTTCTAGTCATTAATCACACAGACTCGAGCAAAGCAGGCAGCCACTATGAGTGAGGTGGAATGGAGGGGAAGAACTGTGCCTGTGAAAATAGACAAAGTGAGAATCTTTCTGTTGGGGTTGGCAGATACTGAAGCAGCTATAACTCAAGTAAGTAAACTCTCCTGAAACCTGTGATTTTAACTCTTAAGCAGGGTCCTATGGTCATGTGAATTTGGTAGCTACACTATTATATTCTGATTTCTATACAAAGGAGGAAATTTAAATATAATTTGTTATGTATTTAAATTCATTTGTCACTGAATATGGGCAAGAAATCATGCCAGTTCAGTTTATTTTATTGTCATCATAGACTAATTGAAAATTAATTCAATTTTTTTTAAAAAAAAAAAAAAACCAAAATAGGGTGTGGTGAAAATGAACAATTTAACACAATAAAATGAAAAAAAAGTACTTGGCTTGTTTGTGTAAAAGACGCTTAGAAGCTGTTTATTGATATATTACAGTGAGTGCTCCAGGTAACAAAGCAGTATTAGGAACCAAAACCTTTGTCTAAAAATGGGGGTAACGGTTCATGATACGAAGTAATAAGAATACAGCTGTCACTTGGCTGTTTGCGACCAAATATTGTAATGGGAAAAGACTGGGCCATGTCTTGCTCATTCCTGGTTTATAGGGATGGTATTGAACATCACCCTGGGACATGTGAACAAATAATGCTTTTGGTGTTTTTTCAAGCAGAAAATTGAAATTCATAAATTCCATATTTAAAAAAGTAACAGCTTGTGACCCAGGAAGCTTAAGTTACTTGTCGAAACTCTTAATCTTGTCCAAGAACATTGTACTCTCAGTTCGGATTATTGAGTAATATGCTGTTATTTAACTCTTCTGTTACTGTACCTTTTTCAAAGTCTTAAATTCATGTGCTGTGGTGCAGTCTCTTGCCTGTGACTTGGGAATGAATCAAAGCAGCATATGCTACAAAATCCTGAATGTTTTCTAACTCTTCCTTTCAAGGTATCTTAGAAGATAAATAACTGTGTTAGAAAAGGAAGATAAATTCATTTTTATTTAAGTAAAATAATAAAATTCCACCTCATTTCCTTTTGTTTCAGCGTTACTATTCTGGCATTTCCCCTTCGCATGTTTGAAGTTGAAATGGCCTCACAGGTGGAGCAACCAAACTAGTCTGACCTGTCTCTGATTATTCAAATTAGAAAACTTAACTTCCCCTGAGTTCTTTGAAAATTAGAGGCTTACTTTTACATTGTATTAATCCAGTTAAACATTGGAGGCATAAATAAATATAAAGCAATTTAAAAAAATAAAATCTGCCCTAAAATTGTGAATCTCATATTCTAGCATTTTTTCTGGAGATCCGCTCAGAGTAGTCAAAATTCTAAATAATTGAACTGTAGAATATATCCAAACACATAATCTTTTAACAATAGATCTTGAGTAATTTTAATCTGACAAAAGTGTTGCGTATTATAAAATGCTAATGAATACCTAAGGCTATTCTAACTTTGGGAATGTTTCTTCCCAATCTTAGATTACTAAGCAGGAAAAGTATCCACAGAGATCAATCAGTTTCCTGTCCTTAATCTGTCACAGAAAATAGTGCTGTTGACTTTGAAGGTTGTTTTTTTTTTTTAGTGGGAGAAAGGAGGGCAAATAAAACTGTAGGTTATCAACAACAAAAAGATTCCTGACAGTCTGGTGGTAATAAATTACAGTTTTAAGCATTAGAATAGGAACTGCATTTTAGAAAACTCCAAAATAAAATTGAATTGAACCAAATTAGAGGGAGATCATAGTGTGGCTTATTGATAGAGAATATGAGATGGAACTCTTTACCAAATAATATATGATTTTGGGTGTTCTTGCCAATATTCTCCCTGCACTATTTTATGCCATGATTGTATGAAGTGGAAGATGTTGGTTTTGTTTATTGGTTCACACTCTATTAAATTTAGGAAATATTAACAGAATCACTTTGGAAGGTTTTCTGTTTTGTTGTTGTTGTTGTTGTTGTTGTTGTTGTAATCTGAAGAGCTCAATTGTGCCCCTTCTGTTATATCATAGAAATATAAAACAGATTTAATCTCCACAGTTTATCACTAAGTAATAACAGTTTCACTAATGTTGCATATAATACAACATGTTTGTAAGACTCACTGGTTGCAATTGTTAATGTAAGTTTTAGCCTCTTTTGATTTCAGTGATTGAAAAGATTATATATGTTTCTGTGCTACTTTATTTAGGCAGAAGAAGAAGAAACTAAAGAACGTTTGTTTGAATCTTTACTGAGTGAGTGCCGGGATGCAATACAAGCCGTTCGCGAAGAGCTGAAGCCAGATCAGGTGGGCCATAAAGTAGAAAGTTTGTGCATTTGTCTCTCCTTTGGTTAGAAAGGCAGGATATAAATAAAATCATTGTTGAGTCTGCTTGAAGAACTATTTGATGCTAGGTCCCACTTGATCCTTTGTGAAGCTATAATAAACTGCAGCTATCCCTCAGTTTTATTTGCATCCAGATATTCTTTTCTAAAATAAATAAATTACACCTAATGTTTTGTTTCCTACAGAAGCAACGGGATCACACTTTGGAAATAGATTCTGGAAAAGTCAGTAATATTCAGTATCTGCACAGGTAAAGAGCCTTTCTAGAAATGCATGACGGTTAGATTACTATTTGTCATTCAGGACAAATAGTAGGACCGTTTGGGTGTCATCTCACTCTCTTGTCTGCCCAGCTCATCATCTATTAACAGCTTTGTATATATTCAAATAAATCTGAAATGACTGTTAGTAATAATGCAGTTTTTAATACTCTGCTTTCCAGTTACCTGACCTACATCAAGCTGTCTACAGCAATCAAGCGCAATGAGAGCATGGCAAAGGCACTACAGAAGGCACTCCTTCGTCAGCAGCAGCCCGAGGAAGATGGCAAGCGTGTTCCTCGACCTCAGGATTTGATACGCCTTTATGACATCATCTTGCAGGTAAGCATGTAAGGAGTGATTTAGCAGTGGAAAGGAGAGGTTTATGGTTCCAGTTTTCTTTTATCTCTAACAAGGTGATTGCAAAGTAGATCGGGAAAAGGTGTGCTATTAAATTGGAAATGCAAGTCAGACAGGGCGCGCAAATTGTTAGCATCAGAACCTATTCCTCCATTAAAAACACGGTAGAAGTGTTGAAAATAAAGAGGTTTTCTGAAATTTTGCTTCATGCAAAATAATATTTTCATGACCACTACATATAATAAACATATACCTTACTTTTAAGGATCACACAAAGTTGCTTCCTAAATAATTTTAATAATTGCAGGTTATTTTTTTGGACAGCAGATAAAGGGTGTTATCTTGTAAAGAGATTACGGTATTTGAAAACAATGCTCTATTCATTTCTGTACTATTGATTCAGTTTGTTAAGCAAATAGTGCTGATTAAATGAAATTATTGCTGGTTTACCATTGTCAAATTTATTTAATTGGATAAAATATTTATACTGTTTGTTGTAAAGTTTATTTACATTTAAGGGCTTTTTTTTTTTTTTTTTTTTTTTGGTCTTCTCATTTTGATCACACTTGAAGAATCTGGCAGAATTGCAACAACTTCCTGGCCTAGAAGAAGATAAAAGCTACCTGAAGGAAATAGGAATAAAGACCTTGGTGTATAAGGCTTACCGGTAATTCCCAGACAAACAAAGTTACTTGTTCAGTCACAGTTAAGCAATCACAATCATACAGTGGCTTGGATCCGAACAATAGTGTAATGAGCGGCAAAATATATTTGTGCTATTCCAAGTCAAGAAAGGTCATAAAATGAGGCAAAACTCACTTAACAAATGTCTCATTTAACAACATAAATTTTGGGCTCAATTGTGGTTGTAAATCGAGGATTACCTGTAATGAGTTCAGAATTGTAGGAAATGTTCCAGTTATTTCTGTAGAAACAACCATTTCACTGTTTCTCCCCCTCCCTGACATAGTTCCTCAAGACAGTTCAGAGAGGGGGATATAAAGTGGGAAAGACTGGGTGTGAATAGTTTCAAGAAAATTGTGCTTATAGAGCAGGGGTGTCAAACTCATGTCATGTGACGTATCACAACTTTCCCCCTTCGCTAAACCAGGAGGGGGTAGCTAGCGTGACGCATCCAGCCCACGGGCCATGAGTTTAAAACCCCTGTCATAGAGAATTGATACTTAAGAGTTAATTGAGCCATAGTTTACCAATCTACTTGGTATGGTCTTCTGTTCCTCCTAGATGCTTTTTCATTGCACAGTCATATGTCCTGGTGAAAAAATGGAGTGAAGCTCTTGTTTTGTATGATCGAGTGCTGAAATACGCCACTGAAGTTCAGGCTAAAGCAGGGACTAAAAAAAGCAACTTAAAGGTAGGAAACAAATTATGAAGTATGCATTAACAATTCTAAGGTGATGTAATGGAGGGCATACATATTTAAATTGATTAGATTCTGCTAACTGTAATGTACAGTTCTGATTCATTCGTTGAAATAAATTTAGGACCGATTGCCCGTTTTTAAGACTATAAAATCAAATTATTTGGGTTTGTCTTTCATTAGATGATGTGTCTGTGTGTGAGAGAGAGCGAGAATGAGAAAGAGAGTTATTATACTACATATATTTGTATTTGGCAACTCAAAAGGGCATATGTATTTAATACTCCTTTTATTTTCCTAACAATGAAAAAGAAAGAAACATTAGCAAATCTAGTTTGGGGGGGGGGAATGAACATGGAGGGAAAATGAAACTTTACTAAGTAATATATCTTTTATGGAATTGGTCTGAATTAAATAGGAGCTACCTGATGTTCAGGATCTGATTACTCAAGTAAATGCAGAAAAATACTCCTTGCAAGCAGCTGCCATATTAGGTGAGTGTGGCTTTCCAGATTCCTACATACACAGTATTCATGGGGAAATGCTTTCAAGATTCAAGAGGCGGGGTCTGCAAACATTTCAGAATGGAAGGCAGGAATGGCTATGAAGGACTTTCCTTTTTTTAAAACGTGGTTCTATAGCTTTATTTTTTCAGTGGCTTGACTGGGCAATTCTGGAAAGAAAAAGTAATCATTGCCCAACAGCTGATAGGGAAGAAATATAGGCTCGGTCTAAATTAAAGTTATAAATTAGACTTTAAAACATCTTTGCCACAATCCAATTTTTTTATATTCACTCCCCTGTCAAGCTGTATTGCTTCTCTGTAGACCACTGGGAGGATAAAGCCTTTTCCCTTTGACTCTTAGATAATATTGGTTCATGATCTGTTCATCTGTTACCTTCACTGCTGCATATTCTGTCCACTTCTGTTCATCCTTTCACACCTAAAACTCCTCCTTTCTAACCAGAATTCTGCCACCAAGATAATTAACTTCTGATATTCTTCAGAGTCATAAGTACCTCAGAGATTGAAGGCAACCTCCTTTTGAAGTCTGTTGACCTTCTGTTCTCTCCTCTGATGTATTGCTCTTTGTAAATTTCACCATTGTCATCTATTCATTTGCTCAAATATGTGTCTTTTTTTCCTTTGATGCTTATAGCTTTTTCTCTATAACTTAACTTTTATCTAAATTTATTAGCGTAAGCCTATGCACTTCACTTAACATAAGTATGTATGACATACTCATTCCTGTGTCAGACTTGGATTGGAACCAACCATTCCTTGACCTGTCTCTATAATAGTATACTATATTCTATCTCTGTGTCTGTCTCTATATCTATCTATCATCTATCTATCTATCTATCTATCTATCTATCTATCTATCTATCTATCTATCTATCTATCTATCTATCTATCTATCTCATATGTCCACCTATCTCACAAGAAGCAACTCTGAGTGACATACAACAATACAATTAGGTTATACAATTAGATTTGGGGCAGGGTAAAAATGGATACCATGCAACATTTACATTTTAAGGAGAAAGTTTGGAGATAAGCATTATCATAATTTATAGACAATTTCATTGTTCACATTTTTAAAATGTAGCCTTATGTTCTTGTTCTGGTTTAATTGCTAGTAAATGCATTTTCCTCAAATACTTCTCTGATTCTTTCAGATGCTGATGACAGTCATGAGGTAGAATCTCCATCCCAGGTCAAAGATGGCAAGGTAAGCAACTTTCTGTGTATGCAATAAAAGCACAATTTCAGAAGGAGCCTAATTTCTTATGTTATAGAGTGTCAATATATAATTTCAATTACATATATTAGAAATATGATGACAGAAATCTTTAATTGTCCCTATTTGTTTAGAAAGTTTTCTGGTTTATTTTTTTTGGCATAGAATCATACAAAACAATGGATTTGATGGAAAAGAAGCTCAAAAACAATCAGGGAGAACACAAACAACAACAACAGAGTGCCTCCTTAATTGTGCTGCTTTGTTTTTGCAGAGTTAACATTAGAATAATGAATTTTAAAAATACCCAGAAATTTAGTAAGCTCCCTAAACATTAGAGACATCCGTAGGGCTCCCTAAACATTAGAGACATCCGTAGGAATCACGAGTATGTTCTGTCTGTGCATTTTTTCTATTCATAGCCTATGCATAATTTCAGAGAAAAGATTTACAGCATGAACTTGGCAAAAAAAAGTCTAAGAGATTTTTGAAAATTGAAGATTTAGGTGCATGATATTATAAAATATTACATGTAGTGGCTCTTCTATTTTTTCTTTATGCTAATTGAAGCTGGGGGAAATCTTGATCAAGACTACTATATGGGAGACTGATATTTTTCCATCTCCCACCTCTTTCTTTGTGTGGATCAGGGATGGTGCCATGTAGGTCAGCAAGTGCGAGGGAGGCTTAGAGAGGGTTGTGAAGGGGTCAGTGCAGCACAAGGCCAGAGTGGCTGGTTGTGTGTGTGCAGGTGTAGAAGACTGACACACACACCCCCAATGACTTGCGACTTTCCCTTCCAGTTCCCCATTGACTTTATAGGGAAGCTGGTAGGGAAGATTGCAAATGGCAGTCATGTGATTGTGGAGCGCTCATAAGTGCAAAAGAATTGCCAAGCATCCAAATCACAGTCGTGTCTGCCAGCTGCTGGGGTGGCTGTAAGTCCAAGAACCGGTCATAACCATCATTCATTCAGTGCCTTTGCAACTTGGAATGGTTGCTGAATGAATGGTCATAGGTTGGGGATCACCTTAATCATAATTGGGTTTCTTTAAAACAGAACAGCTTTCTGGTAACATTTAGTGCATCATTGCTTAGTCCTAATATTAACCAGGTATTTGCAACTCCATTAGAAACTTATACTTAACATTTAGTTTTCTCTTCTGCATTTGCTAGCATAATAGTATTTCCACAATAGATTTGAATAATTTTCTGAGGTTTCCTCAGCAACTATTCATACATCCATAATGGATGTACCTACTTCATTGCCTTGAATGCATTATCCAGAAAGTTAGATATTTCTGTCATTAGACTAGAACTAGGTTTTCCAGCCATGGCAAGTTCCAGGTGTGGACTTCAATTCTCAGAATTCTTCTCAACCATAACCATGCTAGCTGTGGAGTTTAGGAAGTTGAAGATCATTTATTAGAGAAATGTGCAGATTGGGCAGGTTGAAAAATCTTAAAAGTAGAGGATTAAGTAGCAAACGTTTTCCAAATGAACTAATTTTTGTTCCTGTTTATCTTCCTTTATTATCAAGCCACTTTCTGAACGATTTGAGATTTTCTGCCTGGATCCTTCTCTTGTCAGCAAGCAAGCAACTCTGGTGCATTTCCCTCCAGAATTCCAGCCAATTCCATGCAAGCCTTTATTTTTTGATCTGGCTCTCAACCACGTCACTTTCCCACCCCTGGAAGATAAAGTAGAGCAGAAAGCAAAGAGTGGTCTTACAGGATATATCAAAGGCATCTTTGGATTCCGGAGTTAACCAGGGCTCTTTTCAAGGAAAATGTTTCCTTTATATTGGGGAAATCTGCAACAGGTTCAGACCTTATCTGCTTGAGTCTAAAATCCACATGGGAGGTTTTCAATATTTTCCAGTATTCTGTCTATCCATCCAATTTATTAGAACCATTTCAATCTGAGAACATAAAAAATGTGCTCTGTCTCCAGCCTTATCTCAAACTGAAGAAAACACCTGAGGTCTGAATCCACTCACACCGAGTGCCTCAGGCAGGAACAAGTATCCATTTTGTAAGGATCATTTATTTTTGGTAGCTGATACCACAAATTTAATTTTTAAAAAGCTAACTCAGTCGTCTGGACAAGACACAGCAGAGGGAAACCAAAGGCACAGATTTTTACAGAATTGAACTGCCTCAACCAGAATCTGTAAAAACTCAGTTTAATTGATCCTTGTACTGCCTGCCGAGTTTAATTTTCACTTCTAACTATGGATTGAAGATCAGAGTTGATAGATTATGTTTAAAATCCATATAGTAGATTATACTACAGGCTTTAAAGAATATCCTTATATAAACTTTCCTTTAAAAGGCATCACTTCCTAATAAGTTCTTAGAGGATCTCTTTTGGATACTAAAGAGCCTCAGCTTCAGAAAGTTATTCTCCATTTCTGCATTAAAAGCCCTTTCGTTTTTTTATTTTTTTTCTCATTCAATTTATTTGAATTGGCAAATTGGAAAGGATGCTTATTTTGTACTTTTCATCCTTTCTGAAAATTATACATTGTGGTTTTAAATAATCCACTTTGTGAAAACTCAATAAATGAAGCCACTGGAATCTTAAGCAATAAAGATTTTAGTCAGATATTAAGAGGCATTTTTTTGTGAGAACATTTACAAGTGTGGTAGGAATTCCAATATCTTAATATCTTTTCCCAAAATGAAACAAAGAAAAATATCTATCTAGATACATCTTTTAAATATGTGTTCTGTTTCCAGCTATATTATTAGTCTTAAATGTAATCTAGTTAGTCTGAAATATTACTTGGATCAGCTAGTCTTTAGCTATCTTTTAGTGTTCATACAGCACCATATTTTTGTCATACTCCGTTCCAGTTTTGCTCTGCTGCTTCTTGGCTTTGTTAAAAACAGTATTAAAATTGGATTATTCAGTTAGGAATGTTCCACAAAAACAGTTTCTCTAGCATTGTGCTAATACACTCTAGAGAATTATAATTTCCAAACCAAATTGGGTGTAATTGTACCAAAATTATTGGGACTGTTTATCTTGTATGAAAAGCTATCACAATTCTCATTAGGACTTAATTGTGCCACTTCTGTTTTAAAATACGTGTGTGAAATGGACTCTCTGGTCTGTTGGGCGAGTAGAATTTTATAGAAAAAACTTATTGTAGGGGGGAAAGGAAGCAAAAGATATTTTTTACTGTATCAAGTGATTAAATTTGAGATTGAGATGGGGCATGATAAACTGATAATTTATCAGTTTTCTTAAAACCTTAAATGGAAATAACAGATTTGACTCAAGAAACTATGGCCCAGTATCATTTTTGGAAATATGTCTGTTAGGGTTTTTCTTTTGTGGATTGTATTTTGCTTCAAACTTCCTGTCCTGATTTTGAATTAAATCCAAGAATTGTATTCTTAAGAGGTGCAATACAACTTATTTTTGTTTACCTCCCACCTCCAAACTTTTGGGTAACTGGTACATTCCGCTCCATTTATCTCTGCTGCCTTAATTAGTTATAAAATATTTGTTAAGATGTGGCACAAAGTATACTAGAAAGACAGAAAAGAAACCTTTAAACAATAAAGACATATTCTTGCTACAGCCCAGTTTTAAACAGTTTAAACAATTCAACTGCATGTTCTGCTTTCATTTAAACTTTCCTTCCTGTAACATTTGAAGAACACCTTTGCAAGTAGGATTTTTCCCAGAGAACTAAACATATGACTTGATTGTTACAATAAAAATGTTTACGGTTACCATAAAGATGTGGACACCATCCCCTCCCACATGCACTCATTATTAGTTGGCACATTGTAGTACATTATTTCATGAATAGATTGAATCTAGTCCTTGATTTACAACCACAATTGAACCCAAAATGTCTGTTGCTAGGCGACACAGTTAAGTGAGTTTTGCCTCATTTGATGACTTCTCTTGCCACAGTGGTTAAGTGAATCACTGCAGTTGTTAGTAACATGATTGTAAAGTAAAATCTGGCTTCCCCATTAACTTTGCTTGTCAGGCACAAAAGATGATCACATGACCCCGGGACATGGCAACCGTCATCAATATGTGCCAGTTGCCAAGTGCCTGAATTTTGATTATGTGACCATGGGTATACTACAATGGTCATAAGTGTGAAAAATGATCATAAGTTGTTTTTTTACAATGATGTAACTTGGAAAGGTCACTAGACAAAAAATGGTAATTTGAGGGCTTCCTGTATTTAATTGTCCTGAACTGATATGGTTGCCTACAAGTCCTCAATATTAAACCATCTAAGCTCTGTATGTATGTAGTTACAAGAAATTAGGATTTTAAATCTTGTTGAAAGTTGGGATTGGGGGCAAGAAGAATCTTCCAACAGCAATTAACACCCAGAAAGGCAACAATCATACTTATTTGTACATACCACAGCATGAAAGAAAAAAGGGTTACTGTAAAGTACTCAAAACACCCACACAATAATAAATACTACAGTTTCTGTGGAGGAACTACAACTGCCTAATAACAAAAGATTCTGTAAAATGCATTATTGATTCATTTTTCAGAATTAAATTACAGAATTTGGTCAACAAGCAAATTCCTGGATATCATAAATTTACTTGCATATCCAAGGTGACAAATTGGAGTTCAGCTTTTGATATAAAATCTCAAGTGAGTGAACTGTAGTCAAAATAATGTCCATGGTAATAAAGTATACAAATCCTTAGTTGCTAAAATAAGCTCAACTAGCAGGTTGCATGTGTATGTTAAACAGAATGGGGGAGAACATCAAGCCCTGGGGCACACCACAATGGAGCAACTCTCTGTGAGACCTTTCCCTGTCATAACTTGGCCCAGCCAGTTACAAAGTGGAACCATCACAAATTGATCTTCCAATTCCTTGCCCAATAGGCAGTCTGAAAGATGCTATACTTGGCCAATACTTCCTTAAAGTACCTATCAGAGTGACCAATTTGACTTTAGTCCTGCTAGTGGGCCGTATAATTTCTTTAATTGTTGCCCCATTCTTTATAACCTCCTTCATAAATGATAGATAATTGTTCCCAGGGCATAACCCTTGAGAAGTGGGTGAACCAGTGCTTCTTTCAGGCTGGTGGCATTCTCCCCTCACAAGAGACATTGAATGCAATTATCTACCTCCCTGGTTCTTCCTGTCTGCTTTAACCAGGAGAAGCAGAGGTCGAATGCAGAAGTGGCAGAGCTAGAGAAGAAATTTCTACCCCCCTTGGGCTCAACCCCACCATCCCCAGATGACATTGAAAGGCACTAGTGTCATTGGATCCTGTCTATCCAGCTTTCAATTCAAAGCAAAGAGGATTTCATCTCAAATTATTAGCCTAATGACCACAATTTGAACCGACTGAAGTTCTTCCATACTATCTCCTCAGAAAGGAGAGGTCTTAAATAGTGCAGCTGGCTGACATTCTGGAGATGTAATAGGATCATTTTAACAAACATATCGCAACAGAGTAGCCTTGAATCTGAACTCTTGCCATAGCCAGTCACATTCTTCTCTTGTCTTCCTCCAGTCATATCTTTGCTCACTTTGTCTCCCAAAGCAAATTAAAAACAAACAAACCCAAAGAGATTTCAACAGATGCAGAAAGACCTCTCAGCAGCTATCCTGTCTAATGCTTTGTGTATATTCCAGAGGCTAACTAAATGCACAACAGAACTCTCCATTTCACTAGGGAAAGCCCCAAGTACCATTCTGAAAACCAGGATCTATTAAACATTCAGACAGGTCATACAGAGTGCATACTGGTAGCTCTGGTTAACCCCATGGTCATGAGGCAATGATCAAGGAACTGACAAAAACATCTGCCAACACCAGTTTATGTTTCATCTAGTCCAAGATAAAAGCCAGATCTAATGTGTGGTTGCCAATACGGTTTAGGCCAGTGTTTCTCAACCTTGTATACAACATAAAAATTCTGACATATGCACACTTGTTGAGAGAGAAAATGCCTAGAACTGTATTCATCTGCAGATGGCAATGCCAGATAGACAAAGTGTGAGGAAAATAACCATTGTATGGGAGAAATGATAATGATGATGATGATGGCTAGATGCATATGTGCACACACACAGACATACTTATAATTTGGCTGGGAATTTAAGAGAAGTAACATGAATTTATTAATGAAATAAAAGATCAAATATTACACTGGATGTCTGTAAAACTAAGAAAAAGTGCAAAGATCTTATAGGATGCAGTTGAAATATGCAAGGAAATGAAATATAAACAAAAGAGCTAAAGTGTATATCAGAAGATATAAATTGGTTTCACTGTGGTGGGTAAGTATAAAAGTGGGACAATAGGCTGGTGAGAGTTGCCTTTTATATTTCAGAATATGGTCATGATGGAAGAACGATAGATGATTTTTGGGAAAAAATTGTGAATGAATATAATGGGGGGGGGGGGAATACCCTTAGATGACATAAGTGTATGGGTGAGAATGAGAGACAATAAAAAAAATGATTTGAGCTTCCAAGAATGAAGTGAATAGTTACTGGTGAGTATCAGTTTGTTAACATGGTTTAGACATAAGCCTATAGTCAACAATATACGGTACTTAGTAAGGGACTCAACAAAAAACTCCTGGTAAATGTTACTGCTTAGGAGGAAAAAAATTGAGAAAATTAATAAAGTATGCAAGAATAACAGAAGGATATGAATGTGGAACAAGTAATTTGTTGGGTAAAAATGTGAAGAAAAGAGTGGGAAAAGAACCTAAGGGGAAAGTAGAATATGAAGACTCTGTGGTACATATAATTGGTCTCTCAAGATTATGAATGATGAAAGGAAAACTGATATATAAACTGCTTAGAACAGATTGCCTAGAATTATGCATTTATGGATAAACACATAAGGAATGGTTGTGGAAACACCACAGATACAGTGATTGGAAATATGAATGAACATGCACTTCTAATACAGTTGATATTGCCAACTAGTGATAGTACAGATGCTTCCTAATGTTCCTTTTCTTGTGGCTTTATCTGAATAATGTTTAAGATTCTCTAGAAAGCAGATAAAATTAATAGAAAGTTAGTCAGATAATGAGTGTTCTGCTGCCTAGCTGCAGCCCATCTCCAGATATTTCTGATGGTGCTCTGTCAGGTTACAATCTGAGGTAGTCTAGAGAACATCAGCAAAAGTTTACATTAGAACTGTTTGCATTAAGTTTGAAATTCCTATTTTCTGTTCTTTCCATTTCCGTACGTATTGTACTTTAAGGAAGTACAACCAAGAAATAAGTAGGTGTTGCTTTGACCGAATTAGAAGTTCAGTATGTATAAAGATTGCAGGAAAGGTAAGCATTATCTTACTTTCCCCCTTTTTGGTTAACTTTCACTTTTCAGAAATAATTTTTTACTTAAAATCCAACTGCCACTGAACTGATTTTCTTGGTATTTTTGATGTATTGCTTCACATCTTTAAGAACTTACCTTATTTAAAGAAATTGCTCTCGCTTTCATGCATAATTTCTTCTGAGGAAGAAATTTCTTGATAGAGAGCCTCTAGCCTAGAGAAATACAAAACTCTTTCAAACTTCAAAACTTATTGAATGCAGAATGTCAATCTAAAATATTTCAGATAAAAGCATGGAACCTAGCTGCTAACAAAACTATCACTATGAGACCTTGTATCCACTCTTTAGCTAACTTTTCTTTGTAAGGTATTCAGACTTAGACCAAAACCTTCTGATTACTGGATCTTGGTGTGGTATCATTTCCCTATCTTAGCAGTTGTTCCCTGAGTCTTTTCCAAACAGTTGCGCCATGTTATTTCCACTTTGGGAAGGGGTGATGGTAGATCTCTTTTTTACCTATGGTTTAGTGATAAAGCGTAGATTCTAGAGTGCTGATTTAAAATCTGATCAGGAAGCTCTTATTTTACAATGTTCAGCAAGGAGATGTTTAAAGATATATAAAGTTTTTAACTTCTATAGCTTGAAACATCAGTCTTAACAGAAAGTGTGTTTTTGTCTGCTCCCATGAGTCTTCTGTTCAGTTTTACAAACAGCATCATTACTCACTGCATAGCTCATCTTAACTGGTTTTTAAAATGCTTTTAAAAGTAGCTGTTTGCTTTTAACAGAAAAGTTTTTATCAGGGTTTTTATTATTTTTATTATACATGCTCCTTTTAGTATTTAGATGTTTGAAATATACTAAAATTACTCTGTAATTTTATAAATATTTTATTGTGCATTGCATATTTGACATTTCAAACTGCCTTAAAACGCTGCATTCATAAAGGCCCTTAAATGGTTTTAGATATAGTCAGTCCCTCTGCCTCCTCATTCTCTTTCTGTTTCTCTTTCTCTCACACACACACTCACTCACACACTCACACATACACACACACACACAATGATAAAGTGGATAGCATGAAGTTTGGGAAATAGGACTAAGCCAGAAACATTGGTTGGGTTCAGACATTGCATTAAACTATGGTCTGTTTTAATCATAAACAACTGACCAAACTATGGTGCTCTGGTCCACACATTATACTAAATATTAAACTATAATTTAGAAACAATAATGGCTGTGTTTGTACCATACATTAGGCCAAAATGAAACAAAACATATTACCATAATGACCATGTGTTATTACATGGGGTGTAATAACATGTTACATTGGAGTGTTGAAAATCCAATCCAAGTGAAAACTTATTCAAATTCTTTTGTAGGAGAGCATGTTGTAGCAAATTTGTTTTTTTAAAGTTTTAATATAAAAAAAT